TAAACAGGGTAAACATCCGGGCAGTACAGTAAACAGGGTAAACATCCAGGCTGCACAGTAAACAGGGTAAACATCTGGGCAGTACAGTAAACAGAGTAAACATCTGGGCAGTACAGTAACCCTGGTGCCTTCCTCAGCATAAAGCAGCTGGCTGGACTCGGAGTGTGTGGATCCCATTGCGCGTCAGCTAAGTCTCATTGGGAAACCTAACAGGATGCCTTGAGGGCACATCTTCCTAAAGCTTTCCCTGCTCCTTTCCCATTGCTCTGCTGTCTTCTGCTGTCACTGACTCCACACGAAGGAAAGGCATGGTGCTGCCCTTAGTGAGCAGGGAAACCGCCCCTTCCTTTAGACCAGAGCTTGAGAAACACATCCTGCTATGAAGTGTTTAATCTGCACTCATTGCCTCTCCCTTTCCCTCTTGACAGTTTTCCTTTTCCTCTGGTTACCGTCACCCCCTCAAGAACCATTGCTTTTTGTCCATTTCTCTGACTTCCAAACCTCAACCAATCACTAATCCTGTGTCTTCAACATTGCTTTCTCTGAAAATCTGTCACTTTGCCGCCTTCTGGCTCCTCCAGGCTTCTACAGCTAATAAGTAAGGGATATCTTTCTCTAGTGCTTTGTTTATTTGTTAATAAATAGATCACTTTCTGAGCTGTAATTTTGTTGCTTTGTTGTTGTTTTGAGATAAGGTCTCAGTGTAGCCCAGGCTAACTTCAAACTTTTTGTTTTTGTTTTTTGAGATAAGGTTTCTTTGTGTAGCCCTGGCTGTCCTGGAACTCAATTTATAGACCATGCTGTCCTTTTACTCAGATCCACTGCTTCTGCTTCCTGAGTGCTGGGATAAAGGCGTGTGCCACAGCAGCTGCCACCCCCTGCTTGCTGACCTCAAACTTGTAACTGTCCTCTGCCTTTGTCTCCTCAGAGCTGGATTACAGGTGTGTGCCAGCAAGTGTAGCCTCATCTGAAATACAATAATACAAGAGTAATGTAGGCCAGGCATGGTGGTGCACGCCTGTAATCACAGCACTTAGGAAGCAGGGACAGAAGAGCTCTGAAAGTGTGAAGCCAGCCTGGTCTGTGTCTGTCTGATGCTTCATCTGCCTCCCTCAAAAAAAAGTAAATAGGAGAGATGGCTCAGTGGTTAAGAGCACTGACTGCTCTGCCAGAGGTCCTGAGTTCAATTCCCAGCAACCTTGAGGTGGCTCACAACTATCTGCAGTAGCATCCGATGCCATCTTCTGGCGTGTCTGAAGATAGCGACAGTGTACTCATTTACATTAAATAAATCTTTTTTAAAAAACTAAAAGCCGGGCGGTGGTGGCACACGCCTTCAATCCCAGCGCTTGGGAGGCAGAGGCAGGCAGATTTCTGAGTTTGAGGACAGCCTGGTCTACAGAGTGAGTTCCAGGACAGCCAGGGCTATACAGAGAAACCTTGTCTTGAAAAAAAACAAAACAAAACAAAAAAATTAAAAACTAAAGAGAAAAATAAACAGTCTAGCTGAATGACAGGCTAGTGGATAAGTCTTGACACTAGAACAACTTGGAAAAGCAGGTGACTGGTTCTTGCCTGTCTCTTGATTACTCAGATTCCAGGGAGGCAGGGGAGCCCTCTGTGGCTTTGAGGGATTTAGGATAAAGGCAGTGAACCTGAGGGTAAGTCTGTGTACTTGATCCTTAGAGCTTGTTGTAGCTTCCTATGGCCTGTCGTCACTTGACAGAGGACCCAGATCCAAGTGTACACTTGAGAAGAGTCTGGGTAAGGCAGCTTCCAGAATGTACCTGTAGGAAATGAACAGGCTTAGGTCCACCCAGGTAGGCTGCAAGGCTATCTCCTTCATAAGGTGGCGCTTCTCATCCCTGAGGGGCAGCAGTTGAAGCTGCCGGGAGCTCCTGCATTTCACCTTCTAGTTCAAACACACATGTTCAGTCAGAACAGAAACTTCTCTGTGTTTCAGCATTTCTTTGAGATTTCTTTGAGATAGGTTAAGCCACTGTATTCAGGGAGAACTAGACATCCATCTCAGGATGCTGTGGAATCTTTTGAAATCTTGGTAATGACTGAGGAGGATGCCCTTCCCTTCCTTCTGGTCAGTACAGGGAATGAGACCCCTGGGCAGATTATCTCAACTCTAAACACCATCTTTGGTCCACTCTAACCCAATAGCTGGAGAGGTAGCATATCATGCTGGTCACTGGGGAATGATGGAATCCAAATGCTTTCCTTCCTCTGCAGGTTTTTAAATTGGGTTTCCTGACCCTAATTGTTGGCATTGGTAAGAATGACCTTGAGTTCTTGAGAAAGTTGCAGACAGGGCCAGGAAGTGGAAACCGTGAGCATAGGAAAGAGCAGAATTGGGGAAGGCACTGAGGGAGTTGGATCAGACTGTTGACTGTCAAAGCTAGGAAGTTAGGTGTCTGCCGTGTGGGTATCACTTTGGCTGCCAACGGTAAGAAAGCGTCTGGGCTTTAGTTAGAGCCAATATGTATTCTAAATTGTTTGTGGATATGAACAGGGCACTGTAGGTAAAACTGGGCACACACTAGGCAGTTCTCTACACAGGCCTCCTCCCACTAACTCAACTCACAGGCCACCTTCCTGAGAGCAGCTGGCAGGCAGACAAGGCAGAAGGTTTTAGACTAAGCCTTTGACCTATGTGCCTCCCTCCTGAAGTGTAGCTTACTGGTAGATCACTTGGTAGGAAGCTCTGGGTTTGATTCCTTGGTAATGCATATACACAAAGGCCGTCCTAGGACAGAGTTGAATACTGAGGCTTTTAAGGGATAGAAGGTTTAGCTGTGACTCTGGACCACAGGAATTCACTCTGGTTTCCAAATACAGCAAAATGGGGCATACTGTTACAGCTTATAGATGGGAGGTCTGTCTGCCACGTCATGCAATGGTGGAGTGATAGTGTTCTTGACTAGAGTGGCCACAGGGCTTGGGAGTGAACGACTTCACTTTCGGATGATTGAGTGTGTAAGTCACACCTAAAAGGCCGGTTTGTGGAGCATAGGCCTCATGAGTTCAGAGTTCTGGGTTCCAGTCACAGTACTAGACAGACAACAAGCACACAGGAAGGGCCTGACTCAGCGCCCACTGCCAGACAGGGTTGTGGGAAGCAGTTCTCTGCTTACACCTGGCTGTGCTGTTGCTAACTGAGAACCCTGCTGAATCCTGACACTTCCAAAAGGCTCAGGGCTTTTGTGGATGTGGTTGTCCACTTGTGCCCTGGGCTGGGCCGGGCCAGCTTTCTTGTCTTTCTCAGATTTACAATTCAAGTTCCTCTTTAGTTCAACAGAAATGAGTCTTCCTTGACCCTTACTGGAGCGTTCAGCAAGTTGTCCTGGGTAGGTTGGGTCTTTTTGTTTTTTATTTTCAAGGCAGGGTCTGCTGGCCTAGAACTTGCTATGAAGGGTATCTGCCTCTGCTGCTCTCCTGGAGTTAAAGGCACACCACCACTCCCAGCCTCTCAGTGAACTGCTGTTCAAAACGGTCTACCCTTCTCTTCCTACCCATTTCATGTGCCTTACAGAGCTTCAGAGCCTAGACAGCCATCTCCCTGTGTGCCACCACTCCAGTTAGCCACTGCCGTTGTGCTGTGTGTGAGCACCTGTGCTCACACACGGTGTTCCCATGGCTTTAGAGATTAACAGTTTTCTGCAACTGGCTCTTAGCTTCCCCTCCATTGGCCTATCTTTGCTTTTGCATTAACTATGCTGGCCCATGATCTCCAGACATCTGGTTCTTTGCCTTGAACCCTTCCTTTCTCACTTGGGAAAAAATCCCACATTAAAAAGGCCAGCCATGGTGGCACGTGTTATCTAATCCTAGCTCATAGTAGGCAGAAGCAGGCAGATCTCTGTGAGTTCAAGGCCATCCTGGTGTACAGACTGAGACAGGAAGGACTAGAGAGACCCTATCTCAAACAGCAACAAAGTTCCACGTCAAGGGGCTGGGGATGTAGCTCAGTTGGTCGTGCTTCCTTAATGTGTGTTCAGCCCTGGGTTCCTTACCCAGCACTGCATACAAACAGATATGCTATAAGCTCAGTACTTGGAAGTAAAGGCAGGAGGATCTGTAGTTCAAGGCCAGCCTTGGCTATATAACTTCCTTTGAGGATAACCTGGGATACATGAGACTATCTAAAAAAAACAAAACGAAGTGCCACCTAAGATGTAGCCCAGGCCTCACCTCTTCCACAGAGTTCTTGGGTTTCACAGGTTGACTTACCAAGGCACCATTGGCTCTGATGGCACACTCACTGAATACCTTCTATATAGGCTCTAGATCAGTGGTTCCCAACCTGTGTGTCAAGACCCTGTTGGGGTTTCATATCAGATACTCACATTATGATTCATAACAGTAGGAAAATTACAGTTAAGAAGTAGCAATGGGGCCGGGCGGTGGTCGCACACGCCTTTAATCCCAGCACTTGGGAGGCAAAGGCAGGCAGATTTCTGAGTTTGA